TGACTCTTCGAAGCCTGCTGGTGGATTATTTGGGAACACGGGCGCGCAAGCATCCAGTGGAAACACTAGTCTATTCGGCGGAGCGAAACCTGCGAGCACGTCTGCTCCTTCTGCCCAACCCAGCACTACAGCTGCTGCATCACCCAGCGGTCTCTTCGGGGGTGCGCAGTCCGGAAGCGCTGCTCCTACCGGGGGTCTTTTCGGAGCGAAGCCGGCTTCAGCCTCTACCCCCGCAGCCGGAGGCCTATTTGGTTCAAAGACTGAAGGGACTCCGCCTGCTGCGACTTCGCAAGCCGGAAGCACGGCCTCCTTATTCGGTGCCAAACCTGCAGCTCCAGCGACTACAACTCCAGGCTCGACACCGGCGAGTGGCCTCTTCGGCGGCGGCGCAACAACTTCTGCTGCCTCAGGCGCTTCTGCCACAACAACAGCTGGAGGTTTGTTTGGAAACAAACCTGCAACGACTACAACTTCTACCGCAGCTCCGGCCACAACTTCAGCAGGCACTGGCAGTCTTTTTGGCGGCGCCCCCAAGCCATCTACTGAGTCATCTACTTCGAAGCCAGCCGGTGGTCTGTTCGGAGCACCTGCATCCAGTCAACCAGCCGGTTCTGCAGCTACCACAACTGCAACAACTGGTGCAACAACTACTACTACTGCCCCTGCGGCTGGCTCAACTCCTGCTGCTGCCAGCAGCCTGTTTGGTGCGAAGCCTGCCACAGACGCCAGCAAGGATGCAGCTAAGTCTGCGACTTCCAGTGCCACCCCCGGGGCTCTAGGCGCTTCCACGACTGGCCCAACATCCCAGATGGTGCGACTCAAGAACAAAACCATGGAGGACATTGTTACACGTTGGGCATCCGATCTCTCCAAGTACCAGAAGGAATTCAAGGAGCAAGCCACCACTGTGTCGACCTGGGACAGAAGCCTCGTGGATAACGGTGAGAAGATTCAGAAGTTGTACTTGGATACATTCGAGGCTGAACGAGCCAGCCATGAAATCGAGCGACAACTTGCTGCTGTAGAAAGCCAGCAAGATGAGCTAGAGGCTTGGTTGGACCGATATGAGTCTGAGGTTCAGGATATGTTTGCGAAACAGCTTGGTCCTGGCGAGCAGTTAGCTGGCCCTGACCAGGAACGGGAACGTACGTACAAGCTTGCGGAGAAGCTGACGCAACAATTGGACGAAAAGTCGCGCGATCTCTCCAAGATGGTCAAGGAGATCAATGACATCTCAGGAACATTGAACAAGGGTGCTAAGCCTGAGGACCCTGTAAGTTACATTCCATTTTTATTACCCTGGATAAGGTTTGCTAACCCAGTACACAGCTGAGCCAGATTGTTCGGGTCCTGAATGGACACCTTACACAATTGCAGTGGATCGATGCTAATGCCTCGTCGCTGCAAGCCAAGGTTGCGGCTGCTCAGAAATCGAGCAGCAACCTAGGGAGTCATTATGCTGGTTCTGATAACGATGCGGCAGAGAGCTTTTATCGTTCGTATATGGGTCGACGATGAGGAAGAGTAATAATTATTGGCTTGGAGTTTTAGGCAAAGAATTCGGGTAATTCTGTATCAGACATGAATGATAACGGAGAGAAGACGCGCAGCAGAGCTCAGTTGAGAGTAGCAGGGATGCGGGCAACATATGGAAATCCAATGTTGAGGAGTGCAAATGCGTGATTGTTCTTGTACACTAGTTTACCTTAGACTATGGAAAAAAGACAAGCACTGTAAGAAGTGCAATCTCAAGTCAGGTCGAGTTCGCCCAATTGATAAATGTACATCCATCGATCTTGGCGAGCGGGATTGAACCTCACTCAGAGCTGATGGTTCCTCCCCGCAGTCTTTGCCGGGGGTTATCCGGTAATCCGAGGTGTGAGTTGTTTAGTTCTTCTCGCCGCCCTGATCACGGGTGATCTCGTCACTGAAGGGGAATTGAAGTTAGAGGTATGCTCAACTCGGGCCCGTCAACTGCACGGATGGTACATGGGTAGCTTACATGTGCTTGGAGAGACGGTCAAGGTGCTGCTGCTGCTCCTGGAGCTTCTTCTTGAGCTCGATGAGCTTCTCCTTCTCGCGCTGGCGGATAGCGTAATCCTCGCTGGCCTTCTCCCGTCGCTGGAAGGCATCACTAGAGAATGACAAATGTCAGAATGCTTCAATCGCCATGTCAATTGGACCGTAGGCCGAGAACTCACCCGGAACCACCAGTGGGACGGACTGAGCCAGTAGCTCCCTCAGTCATGACGCGAGGAGTGGTAGAGAAGCATCGAACAGGCCGGAAGGCGGCTGTCTGGCGGAAGGTTGTGCGAAGCATGTTGGTGTTGAGGGTTTGGTTTTTTGTCTTGGCTTGCTAGTGACCAGGAAGTATTGGAGATGTGCTTTGTTTTGTAGCCGATGACGTTGGAGGGTTGCTGGTGAAAGAGTCGGCCATGATCTGACGACGAGCTCAGGCCAAGGGTAGAATGCTATGGTCGCCTTAGGCCGTTACCTGATATTAGCACATGGCCAGCTGTACAACCAGGTACTGGGTTAACAATCATGGCCGGCCTAGCGGTAAATCCCGGCCAGCTCCGCCTGCAAGCTTGGGTCTGGGTCATGATCTTTCAGCCTACGAGACAACCGAACTGAGCCAGCCAGGGACCAGGATATAGCTCTAGGGTGCCTGGTCAGGCATAACTACCCTAGATTGTACGAAGTCGCACTTTGGTTTATCGGTATTTTACATTAGGAAGCTCGAGTTTTCCTTGCATTTGATACTCGACCTTCACAAGCTAGGTACTAACCTATGGATGGCACACAGCCTGGTCCCATAGCCATTGCATGACATCAGAGCCCTCATCAGGTGGGGGGTTTTATCAGGGTTTATTCTACATACCTAGGTACTTAAGTAGTACTAGGTACCGTACGGTGTTCCATGCTACCCACTAGCTAATTGAGTTATCAGCAAGCATACCTATGTAGACCTCTCGAGTTTCGGGACAACTGCTCTGGCAGGCAGAGGAAGTTATATTGGAAGTTTTGGATAACGACGTCAGTGAAACAGGTAGATAAACTACCAAAGCAACACAATAGACCGGGTATGTGCCCCGCCAATATACATTCCAGTCATTCTCATAGTTCTATGACTTAGTACCACAGGATACGCATCAATGAAATCGGATGCCTTAACTTTGTCGGAGTAATAAAGTGCAATGCTAGCTGTCTCCCGGATTTGCAAGACTGAGGCGATACAGGCGTCCGAGGTGAGGTGTATTCACTGCAGAGTAGTCGATCGGCTTAGCTGAGAGCGAGATCTCCTTCGTGTTCCAACATGAGAATGATGAGTCTGACCAGCAACATTGAGATTGCCGTTCCTGTCCCACAGCTAAAGTCTCGTGTCGGCACTTCTGTGGCTGTTCCGAGCACACCAACAGCCTAACTAACAAGGCAAAAGAAGCAATCAGGCCGGGTCGCATGATGACGATGATGACACTTGACACCATGGACCCCTCATTCATTTTCATTTTCATTTTTATTTTTTATTTTGGGAAAGTCGCCTTGTTTATTAACGCGCCCGTTTGTTAGCCGTTGACGTGTCTTTCTGCTATTGTTAACGGCTTTTGTCGGCCAGAGATTCAAGGTCAAAAACATAGTTCTTAACGTCGAGATACGAACTAAAAAGAAACATGGACAGTTCTATGGGACCACCTAAGCTGAAAAGTACATAAGGCGTGACTGTTCGGCAGACGAATTACATAGGCAGGGAGATAATGTAGTAAGGATGCCAAGATCTAGGATCCAAGACCCATCACCCATCAATGCGAGGCCTCAATAGAGGCCCATTTCGTTTGGCAACTTAATCGTGACGAGACAACCTAATGAGATTAAGCATGAATGAGAAGAGCGATTGTCCATTGTTGGGTGTCCACTGAAGTTCCAAGGCCCAGCAAGTTTCAATGGATCACCATGGCAGGTAGGTGGAGGAACACCCATTGGGTGGGGGTGCTGCTAATCAAGGTACGTATATGGGGCTGACTGCCCGGCTGCTGGCTACTGGCACTGGCAGTCACTGCCCAGAGGTGCCCCTTCCTCGATATCTCTCACGCTTTCGTCACCCCCAACCAATAACTTGACAATAACTCCCCCGTCTAACTCTCTCAACTCAACTCGTTCCGCGAAACCAAACCACTTCTTTTTTTCATCTCTCTTCTTTTTCTCTTGGCCCCATTCGCCATCTGCCAACTCCTTCAACTGAAGCTCCTCTCAGCCGAATTTTGTTTATTCGCTTTCCCTTAAACAATCCCTCAAGCTACTATAAATTTCCACGACTCAAGGTACGTATCTACACTTCTACCCAGCTCAACACTTCTATTTGTGAGCAAGAACCCTCGCCATGTCCTGTTGCGGCTATCTCGTCTTCTTGTTGTTGTTTGTGTTTGTGTTTCGTTGTGCCCTTCCACCACCCCCTCTGTCGTCATTGCCCCCCTCCTCAGACCGAAACGAACACGCACCCATTATCCCCCTTGGGATCTCCGGGCGCCTTCACCACTACGATTAAGCGATAGCCGCCCTATCTGTACTGCCAACGACGAAAACGCCTTATTTCGAGGCTACTCATCGTTTAGTTACCTTACGGTACTCGTTGTCGCTTGTCGCTTGTCGCCCATCTCAGGAGGCCGTCGTCTGAGAAACCCCTCCGCCACTGACAGGCCTAAGAGCGGGGAGCCTCACCGAGTCGTCGCCGCCGCTCTAGCCACGCACTAGGCGCGCAACTGCCTCTCCCTGTATCGTCTAAACCGTCGACTTATCGCCCCTCGCCCACTTCGAAGCTTCCTTCATCATTCCATTATCGTTGCTTCCACCAACGCATACACGAGCTTGCGCCGTTCGACTCTACCACTCTCTTTGTGCCTTTCTGCCTGTGTCTGCACATATCGCTTTTATTCGCTTCGTCTGACAAGTTTGACCACCCCTTTACTAACTGTCCTGAAACACAGTCGCCAAACATCAACAAAATGGGCCACGAAGACGCCGTCTACCTTGCCAAGCTCGCCGAGCAGGCTGAGCGATATGAGGGTATGTTCTAGGACTCAACACAATATGTCAACCGCGCGCTAATGTATGGGGCGCGCGCCCATTGCAGAGATGGTTGAGAACATGAAGATTGTCGCTGGTGAGGATCGAGATCTCACTGTTGAGGAGCGAAACCTTCTCTCCGTTGCCTACAAGAACGTCATTGGCGCCCGCCGTGCCTCCTGGCGCATAGTCACCTCTATCGAGCAGAAGGAAGAGTCAAAGGGCAACTCTTCTCAGGTTACCCTTATCAAGGAGTACCGACAGAAGATCGAGGCCGAGCTTGCCAAAATCTGCGACGACATTCTCGAGGTTCTCGACCAGCACCTTATTCCCTCTGCCAAGTCTGGCGAGTCCAAGGTTTTCTACCACAAGATGTAGGCGCCGACTTATCACATCCTCTTGCATACTTTTATTGACCAGTCTTGCAGGAAGGGTGACTACCACCGTTACCTTGCTGAGTTCGCCATCGGTGATCGCCGCAAGGACTCTGCCGACAAGTCCCTCGAGGCCTACAAGGCTGCTACTGAGGTTGCCCAGACTGAGCTTCCTCCCACTCACCCTATCCGCCTGGGTCTTGCCCTTAACTTTTCAGTTTTCTACTACGAAATCCTCAACGCCCCTGACCAGGCTTGCCACTTGGCCAAGCAGGCATTTGACGACGCTATTGCTGGTACGACTCGCGACTGCTCTCATTTGGCCAACATCATACTGACACGGATTTCACAGAGCTCGATACCCTGAGCGAGGAGAGCTACAAGGACTCTACACTGATTATGCAACTGCTCCGTGACAATCTTGTGAGTTTTCTGATCGCTCATTTTTCACCTATTCGACGACAGCTAACACAACGACAGACTCTCTGGACCTCCTCTGAGGCCGAGACCTCCGCTGCTGGTCAGGCCGAGGCTCCCAAGGAGGACGCACCTGCGGCCGCTACCGAGGAGCCAGCTGCCCCGGCCGAAGAGCCCAAGGCCGAGTAAGGAGTCGACTAGTGATTTGTCTATGCAGGTGTCAGGTGGACTGGTGTCTACGGAGTGTGGACGGAAGACCTCGTTTTTGATCAAGAGCTTCGGCATCGTTTCAGTACAGACAATGGCCATGGAAAGGACTGAGTTTTTCACCAACGGGCTGGCAAGGCGAGTCTATAACAGAACACTTTTACGTTCTGCTCTTAGACTGTTAATGCGTTGGCCGTCTGGACAATAAAAATACTAAAATTACTTTCAATACACGAAATATATGACTAGTGATGACGCAGTTGAAGAAACTGAATTGGGTTGTTTTTGGCATGCAAGCAACAGCACTAGGTTATGGTGCAAGGTATCTTGTCTGATTGTTGGCCGGGTTCTTGGATCATGGATCCTGGCATGGTTAGTTCATGCCCTTGCCAAGATATAAGCGGATAGGGTTTCAACCGTAATCTGATTATGAGGAAGCCGCAAAGTCAAGTCTTATCTTTCAATGTTTTATTTGAAGGATGTGGTTGTTGTTCATCCTCAATAACGGCAAAGTGAACTCGAAGCCACAAACTACAGTCGAGACAGCCAACCACAAGCTCCCCCTCATCACTCACTTCTTCCAAGTCTGCTTCGCAAAACTCATAGCTGTGCTCATTCCCACAGCGGCAAGGGCGGTACCAGCATTCCTGAGCCTCATCAAATGCCAGATCATCTAGGTCAACATTTTCCACGCCGGTCTGAAAAGAGCCATCTCTCTTGTCGCTTGGGCGAGACACCCGCAGAGCGGCGTTGTAAGCTGCTCGACAAGAAGGGTCGGAAAGAGTGTTGAGAGCAGTTGTGATTTGGTCGACTGTGAAGCAAACAGAGGATGGATCTGAATTTGTGACTTTGTCTGGGTGGTTACGGAGGAGGGCCCGGTGATAGGCGCGCTTTATGAGAGATGTAGAATCGTGCTGTGTGTCGAGTAGCGTGGGCGTGAGGCCGAGGACTTGATAATGTGTTGCCACTTCTGGTGAGGTGACTGCGGCCTGTGAAGAGGCCATGCTAGAGGGTCGAGTTATGCAGATGCGCGTTTGTCAAGTGAAATCTGGACAGCTAAAAGCTCGGAAGGCTTCAGCGTTTGATATCACGTGATACACATTCAACGGAGATGGATGGAGCTATTGGTGATATCGTAGATATCCATCTACCTTGGGTTACGTGGAGAAATGAGTGTCATATTATTGTTAGTTGGCACACAAGATAAGAACTTCATGTCCCAGAACCTCCAGACGCAGTGGTAGTTGGATGGCCTGTACTCTACGGAAGGGAGGCTGGATCTTGAGTGCACAACCGTTCTCGACAAAACGGTCGCTGATATTGTTGTACATAAAAAATACATGGTAAATGTATATGGCGCGCCAAAGCAGGCATTCCATCTCTCGTCTTGCTGTTTATTTGGGGAACTTGGTCCAACCGTATTTGCCCACCTGTTGATGTAGTTAGTAAAACATGCTTCCCTGGACGATTAAGGCAGTCAATCTTTATTCTTACCCTCTTCCAGCGCTTGATAAGACTGGGCATGTCCAGCATGGCTTTTCTTCTCGTCTCCATCCTGCAGTATAGTTAGTCAATGTTGTTCTAGGCTCATTGCAACCTATAGCCAGCCAGTACAGCTGTGATGGCCATAATGGGACCGTTCACTTACTTTGCAATCATATGTCGTTCGTGAATATGACCCTTGACCTTCTGTCCTACACCAGTACCCTTGACTCTCAGACCATGCTCAACCCGGTGAGCCAGCTTGTACTCAGTGCCCTTTCGTGTTTCTGGCAGCAGATCCTCAACGCCGTTCTCACGGGCCATCTTGACCAACTCAGCCTGGCGACGCTGCGAATAGACAGGATCCTGCCATTTACCAGTCACTGGGTGCTTGTAGAAGCGGAAAGGGTTCGGCCTCTCCTCTTGGTATCGGGTCTTTGGGGTATTTTCGGGGAGGATGGCGGCGGGAGGATAGCGGGCAAAGAAGCGCTGCAGTGGTGCGGGCAGCGACTTTGCAAGCCCAATGAACTGTGATGTTGATGCCATGGCAATTTGCTGAAGGGCAACCGGTTGCAAGCCCCGGGACTGAAAGAATGGTCACGAATCTGGAGCTTTCTATCTTCAAGGCTACGGTCCCCAAGTTTTCAGGTAACTACTGAGCCTACCTATCTAAACAGACCCCCGGCCCGCCCACGTAGGTGGACCCTCATCGTTATTCATCAGCCAATGATTCGTAAAAGCACCAGGAGCTAAATCCACACTTCCTCAGCCTTGTCAACTCTTGTCATTCAACAACATCATCAGTCATCGCTTCTATTTGTGGTGGGCGACTGCCTAATACAAATCTTGTAATAACGTATCGCTCTCTTGCTTCTAATCTTTCATCACACAAAAATGCCCCTCGATATTGAAGAAATCTTGCGGCAAAAGAAGGCTGCAGATGCCGCAGCTGCAAAGCCTAGGTTCATCCCCAAGGCCGAACGAGAGCGACTAGCAGCTGAAAAGGCAAAGAAGGAGGAAGACGAGCAGAAGCGCAAGGCTTCCGAAGACGCACAGAAACGGCGGGAGGAAGAACAAAAATGGGCGGCCAGATCAAACGGCTCTTCAAGGCACAACGATTCCACGAATGGATCATCGCGCGTACCGACGGGGCCCAAGGCTATGAACCAGGAGAATGGGCGTGATCGAGATGTATATAGAGATCAAGGACGAGGGAGAGGAAGAGGAAGAGAAGGTCGGAAGGGAGATAAACAGGCCGCGGATAAGCAGTCTGCAGAGGATATCGAGGCCACTCTTCTCCGGTCACGATACCTGGGGCCCCAAGTCAACCAGCAGTCCAACTTTTCGGCGAAGAAGAAACGAATGCGAACAACAGAGAAAAAGTTCAATTTCGAGTGGGACGCTGATGAAGACACGTCACGCGACAACGATCCCTTGTATACTCGACAGGCCGTCAACCACAATGGATCATTCGCCGGTGTTGGTGGAGAATTCGACGATGAAGCCGAGGAGCGTGCTCGCAAGAGAGCTCGAATGATAGAGCAGAGAGATCCAGAAAATGGAAAAGAGAGAGCAAAGGGCATCATGGAAGACTTCTTCCGAGCACGCGACAAAGCGAGACAACGAGCTGATCGAACAGGACTGGGCAAGCGATGGACTGAAAAGTCTTTGGAAGATATGCGCGAGCGGGATTGGCGAATTTTCAAAGAAGATTTTGGAATCGCTACAAAGGGCGGTATGATTCCGAATCCCATGCGAAGCTGGCAAGAATCGAATCTCCCTAAGCGTTTGCTCAACATTGTCGAGGATGTGGGTTACAAGGAGCCGACGCCCATTCAGCGAGCTGCAATTCCTATCGCGCTGCAAGCCCGCGATCTAATCGGTGTAGCTGTCACTGGTTCGGGAAAGACAGCTGCCTTCCTACTACCACTGTTAGTCTACATCTCTGATCTACCGCCCCTCGACGAGCTCAACAAGAACGACGGCCCCTACGCTCTCATCATGGCCCCGACTCGAGAACTGGTGCAGCAGATCGAGTCTGAAGCCAGGAAATTTGCTGGTCCCCTCGGCTTTCGCGTTGTGAGCATCGTCGGTGGCCACTCTATCGAGGAACAAATGTACAACATGCGCGATGGTGCTGAGATTATCGTTGCTACACCGGGTCGTCTTATCGACTGTCTCGATCGACGAATGCTCGTCCTAGCACAATGTTGCTATGTCATTATGGATGAAGCAGATCGTATGATCGACATGGGTTTTGAGGAACCTGTTAATAGGATCCTCGAAGCACTACCAGTCAACAACGAGAAGCCGGATACGGAAGATGCAGAGGACGCAACAAAAATGAAGCGTTATTTGGGTGGGAACGATCGTTACAGACAGACCATGATGTATACAGCAACCATGCCGCCTCAGGTGGAAAAGATTGCGAAGAAGTACCTCCGCCGTCCAGCCGTCGTCACCATTGGTAACGCAGGCGAAGCCGTTGACACTGTCGAGCAGCGTGTCGAGTTCATTCCCGGCGAGGACCGTCGCAAGAAGCGTCTGCAAGAGATACTTGCCTCGAACGACTTTGCGCCACCCATTATCGTCTTTGTCAACATCAAGCGCAACTGTGATGCTGTCGCCCGCGACATTAAGCAGATGGGTTGGACGGTTGCCACACTCCATGGTTCCAAGACCCAGGAACAGCGAGAAGCTTCCCTCCAGTCAGTGCGCAACGGCGCGACGCAAGTTCTCGTTGCAACTGATCTTGCTGGCCGTGGTATCGATGTTCCCGATGTCTCCCTCGTCGTCAACTTCAATATGGCCCCTAAAATCGATAGCTACACTCATCGTATCGGCCGAACAGGTCGTGCTGGCAAGAGTGGTGTTGCCATTACTTTTCTGGGTCCTGAGGACGCTGATACCATGTACGATCTCAAGCAAATCCTCAGCAAGAGCTCCATCTCCAAGGTCCCAGAAGAGTTGAAGAGACATGAGGCTGCACAGTCAAAACCAGTACGTGGTGACGGCGGAGCATCAAGGAAAGACAAGGAAGAAGGGTTAGGGAAAGGAGGCTGGTAGACACTGATCCTGGAGAATAATTTAGGCGACATGAAATAATTGAAATGGAAAGAATCCATTAGTCTCGTCAACTACAAGAAAGAATCTGCAGAGTGAACCCATTTATAAATATCACATGCACATCTCGCATCAATTCTTTCCTATATCTGGAGCACACCCACTGCCAAGCACACACTCTTTCACACGTCTTCCTTTTATCTTATCTTATCTACTCCAGCTTTAGCTGCTCAAACTGCTTGATGGTCTCCTCGAAGCTGTTAAGCTCTTGCTTGGCATCTGCCAATCTCTTCTCGTCTGTCTCGCGGACGGCGTCTGAGACCTTCTCAAGGTAGCCAGGGTCATTGAGAATCTTTTCCTGTTTTTGGATGTTGCTCTTTGCCTTGTCGAGCTTCTTCTGCGCCTTCGCGATCTCGGCATCAAGGTCAACGCGGCCCTTGACGTGAAGGAAAACGGAGGCCTCGGTTGAGACAGGATAGGCGACGCATCCGGCGGGTCTAGTAGCGTCGGGGTTGAGGATCTCGACTCCCTTGATACCCTTACCGCTCAAGGTCTTAATAGAAGACGACTGCTCCTTAACGGTGGTGAGAGCAGTATCGTTGTAGGCCTGGATAATGACTATGAATGAGTCAGTAAAAAGTCGTTCACGGGATCACAGGGTTATAGCACTTGCCCTCAGCCTCATCCTTGAGGGCGTACTCAGCCATCAGTGAGCGAGCGGCCTTGGAGCAGCCTAGAACAAGCTCGTAAGCGCGCTCAGACTCGGGGTCATTAAGCTTCTCGTGGTAGACGGGGTACTTCGCGACCATGATAGACTTGGTCTGATCCTCAGGTCGTCGGGGCATTCGTTGCCACATCTCCTCAGTGATGAAGGGCATGAAAGGGTGAATCATGGCGAGAGCGGCCTCGAGAGCAGTGTAGAGAGTCTGGACAGCAGACTCACGCTCCTTTGGAGTACCGTCACGGATGATGGCCTTTGAGTTCTCGATGTAGACATCACAAAGCTCGTTGTACCAGTAGCGGTAGACGATCAATGTTGACTTGGAAAACTCGCGATCCTCAAGAGCACGGTTGATCTCTTTGGCCGCGGTGTTCATCTTGTGGAGAATCCACCGCTCGGCAAGAGTTTCGCCACGGACAACCCCTGACGTCGAGGGAGCGAAGTCCTTGGGGAGACTTCCCAGAACATACTTGGTAGCCTGGAAGATCTTGTTACAGAACTTGCGGTATCCGTGGATAATCTTGACATCCAGGTTGATATCACCACCACCGGTTGTGGCGTTAATCATGGTGAAACGCAGAGCATCAGCACCACACTGGGGGATACCCTCAGGGAAGGCAGTCTTCTGATACTTGGTGGCTTTTGTAACCTCGCTGGGGTGTAGGTTACCTTGTAGAAGCTTGTCGTGGAGCGACTGCAACTGGATACCTGAGATGACATCCAGGGGATCAACGACATTGCCCAAACTCTTACTCATCTTACGACCTTCAGAATCTCGAACAAGACTGTGGCAGTAGACCTCCTTGAATGGGATATCGCCCGTCATCTTGAGACCGAGAATGATCATTCTGGCAATCCAGAAGAAGAGGATGTCCCAACCTGTCTCGAGGACCTCTGTGGGATAGAGATTCTGGAGGTCGTGGGTGTTGTTGGGCCAGCCGAGGGTGCTGAAGGGCCAGAGCCCAGAGGAGAACCATGTGTCGAGGACATCCTCATCTTGCTCAAGTGTATATGTCTTGCCAGGGAGTGCAGCATTAGCTTTCTCCTCAGCCTCCTCTCGTGTTCGGCCGGCAAACCAGAGCTTCTCCTCAGGGATGTCTCCAGCGCCGCCCTCGATCTTAGCGTAGTAGACGGGACATCGGTGACCCCACCAGAGCTGCCGGCTGATGCACCAATCGTTGATGTCCTCAAGCCATCGGAAGTAGCTCTTCTCAGCAGTCTCTGGTCGGATCTTAATGCGTCCGTCTCGAACAGCAGCCAAGGCAGGCTCAGCGAGTTCCTTCATGCGGACCCACCATTGGGGTTTCAGAAGAGGCTCAATGATATCCTTGGACTTTTCGCACAGAGGGACTTTCATGGCATTGTCCTTCTTGTCAACATATAGACCCTTGGCCTTGAGATCATCTTGGATAGTGTAGCGGACGTCGAATCGCTTCTGGCCCTTGTAAGCGCCGGTGTTCTCGTTCATAAGACCATCGTCGGTCAAGATGTTGATAAACTCAAGACCGTGCTTCTGGCCGAGAGTGAAATCGTTAGGATCATGAGCTGGAGTCAGCTTGACAGCACCGGTACCGAATTCCATGTCGACATACTCGTCGGCGATGATGGGTAGCTTGCGGCCCTCGATAAAGGGGTGGATGGCAGTCTTTCCGATGAGGTGCTTGTACCTCTCGTCCTTGGGGTGGACAGCAATGCCGGTATCACCAAGCATAGTCTCAATACGGGTGGTGGCAACCTCGACAAGCTCATCGGAACCTTCAATGGGGTATTTGAAGTGGACAATGACGCCGAACTCGACCTTCTTGTCGTAACCAGGGACTTCGAGCAGGGTACGGCCGGTCAACTCCTTGTTGACGACCTCGAGGTTGGAAAGCGCGGTATTAAGCTTGGTGCACCAATTAACAAGTCGGTTTGCTCGGTAGATAGTGCCCTCCTCGTGAAGCTTGACCCAGGTCTCCGTAACAGCAGCAGACAAGTTCTTGTCCATGGTGAAAGCTGGTTTCTGTTAGCAGTTTTTTCCTCTTCAGACAGGGTTTGGGGCTGACGTACCCTCTCTGCTCCAGTCAAATGATCCTCCCAGGCTGGTCAGGGCCTTGTTGATGCGCTTATGGTATTCGTCCTTCCACTTCCAGACGGTGTTAACGAATTCCTCACGGCCAAGGTCATGTCTTGTCTTGCCCTCCTTTCTCCAAAGCATGTTCTCAACAACGCTCTGCGTAGAGATACCAGCATGATCACATCCGGGCAGCCAGAGGGTAGTCTTGCCTTGCATACGGTTCCATCTAATCATGAGATCCTGAAGGGAGTCACCAAGTGCGTGACCCATGTGCAGAGCACCAGTGACATTGGGGGGAGGGTGAACAATGACGAACTTGCCCTCGTCCTTGACGCTTCCATCGGGCTTGAACTCGGGCTTGAAGAAACCCTCCTTCTCCCACCAGCTATACCATGCAGACTCGACAGCAATGGGGTTGTAGGCTTTGAAATGGGGGTCTTCAAATGACCGGATTCGCTTCTTCTCGCCCTCCGGGGTGTCTTCGACGTATTCGGGGAGAGGCTCCTCCTCGACCTTCTTTTCCTTAGGCTTCTTTTCCTTGGTAGCTTTGGGGGTGGTGGCAGCGGCCTTTTGCTTCTTTGCTTCGAACTTGGCCTGTTTCTCGGCCTTCTTTCGTTCCTTTTCCACTGTGAAATCATGTCAGGGGATGCACCCGAAACTGTCAATGGACTGCGTATTACGTACACTCCTTCTCAGTCTTCACCTTGGGCGCACCGGCTGCGGCTGATGCGCCGGCATCTTGACCTGTAGCGTGCGCGCCGGTGGCAGACTCGACAATCTCCTTCTTCTCCGCGGCGGGAACGGCTGGAGGAGTGCTGGTAGCGTCCTGGATGCCCTCGCTGGCGGCGACTATGATGTTATGATCAGTATCAGCGTTGTTATATGCAGATGGCTGTAACGAACTTGGGTTTCCTCGCCCACTGTTGGTCGCCATATTTACTCGCGTGGTTGTTAAGGGTCGGCTTGCTCTTGGGGAAACAGATCGCACCCTCAGTGCTCGAACCGCGAGTCTGAACGTCGTGCCGGAGATGACTGAATGAAGCCCGTAACTTGAGGGCTTCAAGCAATGACCTGCACCTCGAATTGATATAGGTAGATGTTGTGTGACTCTTACCAGCTCACTCAGCTACAGCACTGCAATTTCGAGGATTGAGTCACCCACCCGCTTCTTCTGATGGTGGGGGATAACTTTTAGTTAGTTCATGGAGGGGTACAGAAAGTGTGGCGTAGTAGCATTAACATGCATAATTCAGTACCTAGGTATCTATTTGCCATGTCAAATCACTTCAAATCATTAGAAATAATGCCCAATGCGGCTCATCTCGTGTGACCAGTTAACTTATTGATAAGTGTTGATCATCACTTACTTAGGTAGTATAGGTACTCATTGCTATTCTGATGACTCTTTTCTTTACACCAACGATATCGGACCACCTCCACTGGTTCCAGTTGAGCTTGGAAAATGTGGCGCAGCAGCTCACTAGCCACAAAGGCTCAACTCAGCCAAGTGAAGTGCCTGAGCTTGATGTCGTCTTAGACTAGGTGCCTCCCTAGGTGTGCAATAAGTTGTGACGAGATTACTCCAAAGGCCAATATTAAAAGCATCTACTCCAACCTGACGTATTTGGTGTAACCGATCTTTGAAATCTGTCCCGATGGCCTTACGGCTAGTACTAAGAGCTCCTAGGAGCCGTCTCTACAATTGCCTTTCGACCACAACCAGGAGAGTCTACTCAACAAGTAAACAATCGGATTACTTTACTGTTGAGCTGAGCCCGAAGATCAAAGTAAGTTCTGCAACAAGAGGAGTTGTCGACTTTGCTGACCCTCCCAAAGGATCCCTCAAGGCTATTACAAGCCGTCAGAGCACAGATAAACATCACCAATCCAAGCCGCCACGATGCAGCAGTTATACTGGCAACTCCGCAGTATGCGCAATGGCTAGGCAAAAATGAATTCATGGCTGAGTTTGTAGATATGCTGTCAGGTTCTGACGGGACTGGCGAGTTCCATACTCTGGGCGCCGTTGTTGACCACATCGCTCCGCCAGTACCGAACAACAAACCCATTCAGGGCATATCTATCCTCCGTGGCAACCTCGACGGCATCCTACCAGGATTATGGACAGAGGCGCCCCCAAAGGAATGGTCGGACGGGGGGAAGGTGTCAGCTCTAACGATGGATCTTGGCAGCCCGCATATCACTATCCCTCTTACCAACACCACTTTTCAGAACCACAGGACCTCGACACTTATCATCAGCCGCTACGACTTGTCAGCCGGCTCTCCGAAACTTGTTGAGCAGACTGACAAAAAGCATTTGCAGAAAGTAACCATTCCCGTTCAGAAAAGGCTCTCGTCAATCAACGACCTTGGTATCTGGGCTCCCCTCGTACCTTTGACTCAACCCCGTGTGGTGACTGAGAGCTTTGGTAATATCGTACGGCGAATCGACATTGAAGACCAATCAGTTCCAGCATCAAGTGAGCTCGAGCCTGCAGTGGACGAGCTCCATGCCAGCAAATCGGACTTGGTTCAGTCTCCTATGGGTATCTGGGCAATGATCACACCTCCGACTTTTGTTCAGTCAGGGGGCAGCTCGCCCTATGTCAATCCAGATCCCGAGGCAACGTTTTCTGACGGCCAAAGCATCACGGAGCTAACGGCTGTAACCTCGGACCAACTGGGTATCCTGTATAGGCAAGGGGGTAGATTATATCAAGTTTGTAAGCAAACCTGCCAGTCCCTGTGCCCGATTGCATCTTTTAACAGCTTTCAGTGAGTGGCGGCGGTGGCTGGGGGGCGAAGAAGGGTTTGCTGTCGCTTGACCCCGAGCAAACTCACTTTGTTGTATCTGAAGAAGAAGAGATGCAAAGGTTCATCCAAGCTATGGAAGGGGGCAACTTTGTCCCTGTGAGTTCCAAAATCCAGTTCTTTGCGTCAACAGATGCTTCTGCAAGCGAGCCGGTCGGAAACAAACAAACCGGTGTGGTGTTTGGAACATCCAGCAAGGTCGAGGTCGAAACTGATGTGAGCCCTTCTCAACCTGAGGCACTATTGTTGGAGAATCATTTCGGCGCTCTCTCCAACGTAGGTATCTTTGCAACCTCGTCCGATGCTTCCATGTTTTCAAAACCTGGGTTCAACAACGACTGGAAACTCAACGTGCCTAACTCTCGAATATATGCCGTATAGGTCAGCACGGAGTTGATGGTCCTCACTGGTGGCTGTCGTGTGTATAATAAGAATGTACAAGTACCCCTGTCAACGACTAGGTATGGCCGTACGTGTACGTGAGTAGTATTCTACCTGCGTTGGTTTATTGTGGCCTTTTCTTCTTGTGCAATCCTTCTGCTGCCGCCTTGGCGACATCATCCAGCGTTGTTCCCCTCTTCCTCTTACCTACCTTTTCGTTTCCAAGTACTTCGTTCTCCGCAATATCCTGATAGACACTCGCGGCGCCCATGAACATCTGTTTATCCCAGCCCGCTTCCTCGTTGAAAGTGAGTGCAATCTCCTCCATCTCTCGCACCCAGCGATACGCCTTAGGTGGCATGCCGGGGACGCTCTTTTCAGCGTTGGCAAGTGTGGCTGGATGGAATGTACCAATCTCATCTTTGAGAGCGTCCAAGACGCCAAGATTATGTGCCGTCGTGAACGATTGAGTGGCAATGGCGGTGAATCCCTTTGAAAGGGAAGCAAAACACATTTTGAGACCACTTGCAGCGCCGATATCAGGAGAGATTTGCTTCATGTTGAGAACGGACATCAATTTCTTTCCAAAGGGGAGCGAGCTAAACCCATCCGAGCCTGATATAGGAATGCTAGGACGGTACCAGTCAGAATAATCGTTACTGCTCGATGATTCTGTTGCGGCACCAGGAGACGTCTTCTTGGGGGGAGTCCCAAGAATGCATCCGTCAACGAATCGTATAGGCAGATTTGATCTCCTAACAGATGCCGCAATGGCCTTGACTGTCGAAGGTGCAACAGCATTGAGATCCAAAAAGTGAAGCTCTCTCGTAGCGCCTAAGCCTGCTAACGCATCTGTAATACGAGTGGCTGTTGCCTCTGCGTCCTTAGGCGGCACAATGGAGAGGATAACGGAACTCTGTCTGACCAGTTCAACATCGGACTCGAGGAGCTCAACTTCTGCATCCCGAGCTCGTTCGATGGTATCTTTGCTGGAGGAACCGTTAGCAGACATCTCATCGTCCTTGCTTGATCTGTCGGTCAGTTACCTTCTGCCACAGATGTTGGTTGCAACATTGAAACCGTTGGCAACTAGTAGTTTTGCAACACCGACTCCCATATCGCCAATGGACAATAGTCCAATTTTGGGTAGAGATTCGGCGGTAGCTGACATCTTATGATTGATAATCAATTCAGATTGGGCGTTATGCGTTGACTTGAGGTAAATACGTGATGGAGATAGGATGACGCGGGGAACCAGTGGAAGGTAAGTGAGCTGCTATAAGACCTAAGAGTACAGTTGGAGATATTGGATGTTTTCAATAACGTTCCAAGGACGAAGGGCGAAAGCTATTTGCCTTATGCATAGGTAGGTAGGTAGTGATCCAAGAAATATACTGCTGCTATTTGGGGAAGCAGATATTAATCTAGTGCACAGGTTGACCACCAACGGACTAGGCGTATTGCCAACTTCACTTGGATGCTACAGGGTATACTGCAGGCACTTGTGTTACGAGATTTGCTTACACTGAATCGAGAATCGAGATCATCTGGTTATTACGTGGATGTAGAACAGTGTCGAGGTTGGGAGGGTGCGGGGCTTCCGATGAACGATACAGCGCTTTGCCATCCATTTGATACCTGTAAGCCATCGATTGATCGATCAACTGAGGATGAATTATAGTTGAAAGTGATAGTGATATCCTCTCTATAGGCGTTTATACCATCCGTGCATAGGCAGTATCATTACCCGAGATAGGTGCCTAGCGAATGTATAAACTCACGACAGTTTTCAAAACCATCAGCCTTGGCTACGTTACGTGGAAATGGAATGGTTTCGAATGACATGATCAGAATGAACCGAGGCCTAGGGCCTGTCTGCACAGCGAAATAAGTCGTTTCTTGTGGTCAAGGTCGACGTCACTCTTCAAGGATCCCACCCTGTTTCTGGTGTCGCGGGGAACCATTCATGGCCCGATTCGATTCGCCTCTGAAGACATAAAGCACATGATGACGAACCTTTGACAGGCTGTCGAGGATAGCTACCTATAGATTACACTGTCACTCAAGATATATGATATATAGAATCGAAACTCGTAATTCATCAAACTATTCATTATCGACCAAAACCCAACAAGTTTATCGATCGTTTCCAAAACGTCGATAACATCAACTGACAGCCCATTATGTCCTCTTCTCAACATCAGCATGATGCTACATCGGCATCCTCACCCAGAACTACCAGATCATCACAAGACAAACGCAACCACAAGAGGACAGAGACTATTCCAGCTTCAACCCCCCGGCAGCCAGACGAAATCGAAGAAGCTGATACGGCAGTACCAGTAAAGACGCATCAATCAAAGCAGAAGCAGAAACGAGCTGGATCGTCATCTGACAAAGATACCGACGATGCCGAGAATGTATATCTATCATCCGACGAAGAAGACACATCAGATGAAGACTCCTCAGACTATGACTCAGACTCACAAGGTAGTGTGGAAGAGCTGCCTCCCCGGCAACTATCGAGGAGAGCAACAGATCGAGGTGTAAAAACAACTCCTGGGTCACCATTCACAGTCACCCAGACAAGAAGCGAAACTACCCACTGGGTATCAACACAGAACAATGGAGGCATGATGCGAGGAGCCAGAACTGTCAACCAGCAGACAACATTGCATGGACACAACGTCAATGGGCCACAGCGAAGACCGAGCAATAGGAACAGTATTAGCTTCAACATGAGCGTCAATGTTGACATGTCCTTCAACGGCCTCGTCACAGGCCGAAACCTGGGCTTCACAGGGGTAGGCAACCGGTTATGAGTTTCTTTTCCTTCTTGTTTGGAACTCAATCGAAACGTTACTAACAATGACAGGGATCACTATCATATGCATGGAGCCGGCGCAACACGCAAGGGGGTTGATGTCTCTCCTTCCATGTGGACTATTTGACTACAGGAGACCAAATTATTATTGACAACTTCGATATTCGAAGGTGGGATTTTAGGTGCAAGGCGCTAAACATTCTGGTGGTGTACATAGTTGTGAACATGACAGATACCAAAGTCAAGTATCATGGCAACAAAGCTACTCGATCATGTCAATGTCGTCGGTCGCAGCTTGAGCTTGAGTCTGCGCAGCTGCCTGTGTTTGAGCAGTGGGTGCACTTTGCTGGTCAGCAGGTTCTGCAGCCTGCGCGTTGTCACCGCCGCCAAAGTAGTCCGCCATCTCCGCATCCAGCTCCTCCTGTGTCTTCTTTCCACGAGGATTGCCTCGTCCGCCGCGTCCGCCCTCCTGATCTCTGCCACCATCTCTGCCATCTCTGCCATCGCGTCGAGCACCAGGGCGACGACCACCCTGACCTCGGCCCCGACCACCCTGTCTAGGCATTGGGCTGCGGCGAGGACCCTGGCCGGGAACATATCTATCGATTCCTCTGCGGGCAGCGTCGTCGTCGTCATACCGGCGATGGGGGGAATGGGATCTTCGTTCCCCGGGACTCGAGATTCGCTCTGCCAGTGGACGGCCGGGCATAACGGCGGTATCAAATGGGTTTCGCGAGGGTAGCAGAGTCAATCGAATGGGTTGACCTGGTTTCTGTTAATCAGGTTGCACAACCCGGCAAGTCGGCTTTTCACTCACCATTGGCATTGGCACCATCAAACTGCTTGACCGCCTCCTGAGCGTCCTCCTTCAGTTCGTACGTCACGTAAGCAGTACCCTCGGATCGCCCAGCGCGGTCATACCGTAGCTGAAGGCGAACAACTGGGCCGATCCTTCGAAATAGCTCCTAAATGCCTGTGAGCTGCTGTGTAGTAATTCCAGACATGTCATCTACCTACATCCAGGTCTTCCTCAGTGAGATCATAATGAATGTTGTCAACTCTGAGCTTGGCGCCCTTGGACTCCCTATTGTACACGAGGTTAGGGGGTTCGTGATTGTCGATAGGTGCGACTCACTGGTCTGGGGATTCGCGGCGGCGGCGAGCAGCAGGGGCCCGGCGATTGTCTGGATACGTGTCAAAAGGGGGTCCTGGGCCGGAAGGGTTTTCAAGTATTACTGTTCTCTTCGAATCGGTCATGGACCCATTCGCTGTGTACGGTTAGCAAGCAAGAGTAGTAGGAAGGCAAGGCTTTGACTGACCTATCAAGGTTTCGTGAATCGTCGCGAACGGACTGCAAGTGGGAGGGACGCTCTGGTCAGCAATGGATTTTCAGAGTGGAAAGCCGTTCAATCGACAAAAGCCCCGAGCACTGAAAGGACGAGTTGCGAGGAGGGTTGTACAGGTCGAGTTGGCATCATTGGAGGGCGAGGGAAGTCAACCTGCACCGCCGACGTCAACAAAGACTCATGAAGAAGGCCAAGCTGCCGCCTGGGGAGAAACCAACCTTTCTAACACCATCGCGAGGGTAGTCATTACGGGGTTCACGTCGGCGACCTTGGCCACGGTGGTTGCGAGATCGATTGGCGCGCTGCGAAAAAAGAAAAGTCAGCCTGGGTTGGTTGATGCGAGATGGGGGCGCGTTCATGTCATGTGCTGCGGGAGACGGTATGAAGGAAGACGAGGGAGATGAGAAAGACGTACAGTATCAGCGATGATCTCATCGAGACCGCGATCCATCTTGTCAGCCATGTTTACTTATATTTGCTGCGAGGCGTGGCAGAATCCGCGACGAATTCGGCAAGTTGAGGTTGAAATTGAAGAGGAGAGGCCGTGTTGCTTGACAAAGTTGGGCCAAGGTTGTCTACGCACATGCGAAAGATGGATTGGGATGTCATGGGTGGGTGCCACAAATCAAGGCTTCAAGCCACAATCTGGGCGTTGAATCGTGGTGGAGCCTCCACCTATTATTAGTGCGACAATACAGTACGAGGAAGCATGCTCAAGTTGATATTGATATTGTTGGGTTTCAGACGATCGAACAGGACCGATTTACAATTGAAGCAGTTAAAAGAGACAAAGTAAAAGTATCACTGCCATTAGTTATCTTCCAAGAAGCATCACATCATACCGTCAGGTTGACCAAAACAAGGCCATTGCCGAAGGGCCTCGACCAAGCCGGGCTCTTTTCAAACTTCACTTCACTGGAGAGGTCTATGAGAGGAGAAGGCCTTGGATGAAATATGTAAAAACCTCGAATTTTCACCGACCTTGAAATGATCCCAAAGGTGTAAGCGAATTACGGCCTCAGCCCTCGGATACGATGATCGGTAGTTACTTTCCAGAGTCAAGGTCTCTCCGAGCCTTTAAATCACAAGTACCTATCTTGTATCTGCTAGGATTCACCGATGGGATCCATGCCCGGGTCTCAGCGCTAGACCTGTTCTGGCGACTCAGCCAACTGAACCCTTCAGTCGCTGTGTCTTCAGTTAATTATCCCTTTGGAGGCCAGAGAACCACTTCGTATTCCTGTCATATTACCCCTTCGCTCAGTCTCGTCTGCTACGACCGTTTCTTCTTTTTCTCTTGTCTGTCTTTTGCCTCTTCAAAGGCTATAATTGAGAATTCAACCGTTTATACGAACCCATCGTAACCCCCTATCACTTATTCCTGAGCTGTCCCTCGCGGCGCATCTTGAAACAGCTTCAACATTTAATTTGATGCCCTCGACTTCCTCGCGATAGCTGGTGCTGTCGCACTCTCTGGTATACCCGAACACCTCGCCGCCTCTCAGGCGCATTAATACACATCTCATGGCCCGACCCATGGGGGCGGTTCGTCTCAAGAAGACGAATCCCTTGACCCTCGCGCTCGGAGCGATCCTGTGCATCTTCATCATCGTCTTCCTCGTCTCCCCGTCGGGCAAATCCGCAACCGCTCGCCGATTCGAGTCCATAACTGCAGAACATCACCTCTCGCCGCCGACTTCACCGTACCGAAAGTCAAAATCCCGATCTGGCGTACCGCTCAAGCCACCACCCGTTGTGCACTACAACCTTAACAATGTCACCATTACGACTTCGCCCATCGCGAACCGAGAAAATGTCCTCATCCTGACTCCCATGTCTCGATTCTATCCCGGCTACTGGGACAATCTTTTGCGCTTGACTTATCCTCATGAACTTATCACGCTGGGGTTCATCCTACCCAAAACCAAGGAGGGCAACCAAGCCACCACTGAACTCCAAGAGCACATCCACAAGACGCAAAAGCATGGCCGTGAGGGCGACAAATTCAAGAGCATCATTATTCTTCGTCAAGATTTTGATCCTGCTATTGTTTCGCAGGATGAAGCCGAGCGCCACAAGCTTAAGAACCAGAAGGCCCGTCGCGAGGTTATGTCGAAGGCCCGGAATTCACTACTGTTCACGACTCTCGGACCCGATACCTCCTGGGTCCTGTGGCTAGATGCCGACATCATTGAGACCCCTACAACCCTGATCCAGGATCTCGCATCGTTCGATAAGCCGCTCATTGTCCCAAACTGCTTCCAGCGATATTATGACGAGGAACATAAGCAAATGGCCGAGCGGCCATACGATTTTAACAGCTGGCAAGACAGCGAAACAGCACTGGCACTCGCTGCCAAGATGGGACCCGACGAAATTCTTCTCGAGGGCTACGCTGAAATGCCAACATATCGAATGCTTATGGCATACCTGGCTGTTGAAGGCGGTGACCGTAACCTGGTCATTCCACTTGATGGAGTTGGAGGCACTGCCCTTCTAGTCAAGGCAGATGTGCATCGCGATGGCGCCATGTTCCCTCCCTTCCCCTTCTACCATCTTATTGAGACTGAGGGATTCGCCAAAATGGCTAAGCGATTAGGCTGGCAACCATATGGCCTGCCCAATTACAAGGTCAGTCATTTCTCTGTTGCAGCCAACATCTGGCACTAATGACTTTCTACGATAGGTCTATCACTATAATGAATAACGTTGCCACGCCTTCACGAGGGCAACATGATCCATCTCCTTTTACGGCCTCTGTTTTCTAGTTCTTATGCCAAGAAGACAAGCATGCTGCTCTGGGATTAGGACCTGAAGTAGTTGCTTAATAGCTATTGTTGGGCAAATCACGATTCAATTTGGGCGGGTACAGGTCATGGCGTTTAGCAGTGCATCCTCTGGACATTTATTGAAAAACAGAGGGGAATGGAAGCCTCGTTGCCAGAGAAAAAGAAAAGAAAAGAAAGGAAAAACACCGCAATAGCTTCAGGGAAGATATCGCGCCTTTTTAAAGATATGCATATTGTATTGGCTTACAAATTTCTGTAAGAACATTCGGGCATGCAATGCGAAAGTGGAGGAAGAATCATGGAATACCTTTAGATCGGCATCTGCGAGTGCGCGTGTTAAGCTGTTCAATACAAGTTTTGGGGACTTTCTCAAATAAGTTGTCGTCTCGTGAATTTTGATATTATTAGGTACTGAGAATCATGCGATACCGCTCGAACAATAAACTCAAGAACATCTGTAAGCCCAATGTGACATGCAACTTCTTACCTAGGTGTATCAATAAAGCTTCCATGCGAACCAAAACTCCATATTGCGCCACCTGAATTCAAGCGTATCCCCCATCTTCAACCGGTGCAACCTCCATATGTAGCCAACATTTCAAGGCCCCTCATATCGCCCATCAGAATCCCGACACCAAAACTCGACTAGCTTCCTCGTACCAAGCACATCGCCGGAGCGTAACAAGGCCGCAACGTCCACGTTAAGTGGGCTATCGGTCTCAGGGCAACCCAGCAACATGCGCACGGCTCGAACACACTCCAAGACACTATACGCAGGTGTCCATGCGTCCTTGAGCAGGTCGAGGCAGATCTCGCCAGTTTGAAGGGCAATATTCGGGTGAACGATGGGCGTGACGAACGTCATCTTCGGTGGTGCGAGGGGGTAAGTCGATGGGATGGAAATATTGATGAGCCAGCGCCCCTCTGCAAGATGTTAGTAGATGAAGATGACAAAGTCAAGGGCTGAGCTGACCATCGTAGCCGTGGCCTATATCTCGTCCGTTGATGACGGCTTCCCACTCCATCAAGTCACCCTCGTTGACTGGCCCAAGACGTTCGATGCCCTTCTCTTCCTTTTGCTCTGTGCTCCATGTATCCAACTCCTTTATCAGTCGTCGACTTGCGCTTCGCGACGCAGCGGCTGAGTTTGATGACGATGGTGGCATTGCTTTGGATGAATGCGATATCAGGGCCAGGCGGAGTGATGATGCGGCGAGGTATTTTTCAAGTTTAATGAGTTCAAAGGGTTTGGGCGAGACTCTTAAAGTTGGAGTGGGAGTGGGAGTGGGAGTTGGGGATGGGACGAAGCTACAGCTGGTTGGGGTCGTGACTTATTTCGTCACGTTTTAGCTGTTGAGCTCCCCTCGGCATGCCCAGCTGGCGACTTCCATATTACAAGGGTACCTAGGTACCTAGGTCGGCCAGAGCCGAGGGATGCTCGCATGTACTCCGTACCTAGCCTGTGGGTACTTCCATGTCTGATCTGTCTAACCTTGGGTACCTACGTACGTGGGGTTAAGCACTAGGCACCTAGGCCTCAGGGAGCAAGAAAACATCCGACCTTGATATAGGGTGTCAGAATGATCTTAGCAAAGAGCCCCTTAAGCTTCGGCTAGATTTACCTAGATATTTTCATCGCTTAGGGTCAAGGTCCTGACTTTTCTTTCCTCCCCCATCTAGGTACTAGGCCCCTGGCTCCGTACTATTAGGTTCCTACTTTGTAAATGTCAGCTCAACGGGCCAGTGGCTGTGGCAGCGTGGCTCAACCTTCGTTGCTAACGACCCCTTTCATATAAAAATGCTGTTTGACACGATGTCGTGAACTTGGCCATGTTCAACAACAAAGATTGGGAGATGGACATAGTCTGGCAGAACTAATTGATAGTCTACAAGTATTGAATAGTGACGTGGATTTTCTGGAACATAGGGATAATCTTCTCTTTTGGTCTAGCATCATAACTCTCTACTTTTTCCTTCGCCCACCAGTTGCCGCAGGCTTTCGCCTGGATGTGGATGATGAAGCAGACGTACGAGGTGGATTCCTCCTCACTGGCTCGGGCTTAGAAGGCTCAGGAGATGATTCCTCAACGACAATCTGAGCTCCACTGCCAACATCGTCGCTTGATGTCGTCTCTACTGATGCTTCTCTTTCCTCATCAGACTCATCCTCGCTCTCGCTCTCTTCCTCGCTGGACCCGTTGATTTGACGGGATCCCCGTGATGAACGCTGAGCCCCTGAGAATTGTCTCCATGATCCAGCTGGACTAGAGGCCTGAGCGCCTGGAACCTGGAACTGGAAGGGATCAAGGGGAGCCTGACTCGAGTTCCTACCCCGACGAACAATTACGGAGCTATCAGAAGGCTGACGACTATTAGAAGGGGCCCGCACTCGACTTTGAGGCCTCTGTGACGAGGCCCCTGAGCGTGGTCGGCCGGCTGTTGCTGGTGGTGGGAAATAGCCCATGGAAGGTCGAGACGAACGGTCTTGATCCTCGGTAAGGTTGCTGTTAGAAGAAGATTGCCGGGCTCGTGACTGTGTGCGTGGTTGACTGGAGACTGGGGGTGCTTTCTTTTTGCGCGATGACGGCTCGAGCTGGGTAAGGGGCACAGCGACTCGCTGATCTTTACGCTTCTTGCCGCTCTTCTTCTTCTTCGCCGCCTCGTCTCTCTTCCG